GTTCCATCTTTGAGAGTCCTTTGAAATCCATCTGAAAGCCAAAGCATTCAGGTTCAGCTGGAAATGGAACTAGAATTACTGAACTGCTATGAAAACAAGGTTGAAGAAAAAGATAGGGGAAAAAAAAAGAAACTGTTAATTCAAATTGAAAATGGAAATTCAAAGTGAAAATGAAATCTGTCTTTTCTGAGATGGTTCTGAGAATGACATTATCATTATAAGAATATAGTTGAATTTCTTAAATACCTTTAAAAGTGAATGGCAGAAATAAGATATTATAAATAAAATTAAAACATAAAGAGATGCTACAAAGTTTTCCCATGCCAAAATCAGAACTATTATTAAAACAATAGTTTCTAAACCCAATCTATTTATATACCCTAATCACAATGACTTTAGAGATAAGATTTTTTTTTAATGTAAAGTGCATAAGAATGAAGAACCTTGTAAAGTTTAAAGCAGGATGTTTAGTCCTAGGTCCAGGCAAACAATCTGAAAGCCAGAGATAAAAGGACAACTATAGTTCTCCTTGACCTTAAAAGGTATGCAGTCTGCAAATATAAAGCACTTCAGGAAAGGTGGAGTGGAAAAAGGATTTTTTTGTCTCCAATGGAAAGCACGAGACTGCAATATCTTCAAAGAAAAATATTTGTGTCAACATAGCTTTACAGACTATTTGAGACTTCTTGTTGAAGCTATGCTCTCTGAACATGCTTTTCTTATCAATAACGCCTAATAAAACTTCTAAGATATAAAAGTCCACATTCCAGATATGAGGTATACAGGATGAAATTTCTAGTTCTGAGCAGATTTGTTTGTACCTTTCCACTACCCATCTGAATGTCCCCTTCCAGGATGGCACTGAAGTGTCAGCACATGTCTCTACAGTGTTGCACTTTTCTAGTGTAGTAACTGTAAGAGCGAGTCTGTGGTGAAATCCTCACTTCAAGATTGGACATATATACCAAAGATAGTTTTGGAAGCAGTTTCAGTAGCAATATACTGGCTTAAATTTGGTATAGTCTCTTCTGGCCTCAAAAATTAATTAATTACATCAACATTCCGCCTTATTTTCTTTTCCTTTGGTCATTACATCATCCACAAATCACCACCTGAGATTTTCATTAGGGAGTATGCTTTTTATTTCTAGGACTTCTCTAGAAATGAACATTTGACATTTCCTTTCCAAGATCAAGAGCAGCCTTTCAGGTCATAATCAAACATCTAGGAAACAAATTTTTTATCCTGGCTTTGTAAGAACAGTGTCCTCTGTTTCTTTTTCAAAAGTCTCCCATGTAATGGATTATGAACATAAAATAATTTCTTGTGGATAAGACAACAAAATAATCTCTTGGCCATGGGTCAGGAATGGCCTTTTTCTTATGCATAAATATTCAAATTATTATTTTTGAAGGGAAAGTTTGAAGTACACTTGTTATTAATTTCTATAGAGACCAAATTAATGCAACTTGCCTGAAGCTCATGTCCTTGTTCATTCAGGAACTGAAATGTCATGTACAGCAAGATGGTCTTTTCTTCTAATTAATGTGGTCATGAAACAAATGAAACACAATATGCAAATAAGAGCTATGATGATTAAATAAAATGCTGTCCCTCCAGGAAAAAAACCACTCAAAATATACTAGTTTCATACAGTTGGTTTTGAGAGGCCCATCTGTTAAAACTGAAAGTATTTTGCTTAAATTACATCTGGGTACTAATAGGTACTGTGTTTCAATTATTTCAGGGAAACTTAAAAGACAGAAGTTTTTGCTAAAGTTAAGGTTCAGAATGAACGGCATAACTGGTTATCCTGTGTTTAATCATAGATATTGGGTCAAGCTCAAAATTAAATTCACATTTCTGCTCACATCTGAAAAGCCTCCTAGAAAGTCAACATGAATCTAGACAACTTCTCTTTATGAATGTTACACAGCCAAAAGACATATTAAAGATTACAGAACCTCATTTTTAACCTCATAATCCTGTGATTGCTACAAAATGCCATAAAGCCAACATAAAGCAACAAAACTTATTTATGGAATGAAGGTCTCTTACAATAAGTATGATTCTAAAAAAACCCTACTGTTTTAATTCAGTGTTCTATTGTTATTCAGCGTGTTTGACCTCATCTCCTGGAAAACACAACAGTACCTTGTATGATTATTTTACAAAATATGCCTTTATTAAGTGAATGTCAGAAACAGGGCATAAAAGTGACCAGATTCACTGAGAAGAATTCTCTTTGAACCATTTCCTTAGCCAACTAGTTCAACAGAGGATGGTGTCCCCTTTCAGACTGAAGAAGGTCAAGCTGTTTAGTAACATCTTCACAGGAGAAATTAGACCTTCCTCCCTCTTATCCAATGGGAGTTTTGACAATGGATCTAAAACCATTTTCACCTACTGGACCCTTCTAGGGTCCTAGAGTCCACCACATCCTAGAGTCAGTAATTTCCTGTTCTTGATTACAGCTTCACAGAAAACATCTCTTTTACCCTATGACTCTGGAATTTTTATCATAGTTTTTTTAATACTTATGTTCCAGTGATCCTGGACAAGATGAAAGAGAGATAACAGAAAAGGTGACCCTTTCCTCCAGAAAATCCAGACAGCCAGTCCTCTCGTCTGACACGTAGGAAACCAGTATCACCTGGAATGAATCAGGCACAAGAGCTGGCATGCAACTTTCTCCATCATAAGCAATTGTTGTGACCACCAAATTGTGTTCTCAATTATTTTTGTCTATTGAGACACAAAGATCTTTTCCAACAGTCTCCATCAAAACTCTTGAACTTCCGTGAGAAGTCTTAATGTCAAATTATAGCTACTTAATAACACATATTCTGCTGAATTTGATTTTTCAAAGGAAAATATAAAGTCCCTTGAAAAGTTACAAATACAGAAAGTAGTGTTATTGAAGTGATAAAAAAAATCATCATCTGTATTGGCAAAGGTGATATTCTGGCAGAGTAGACCTTCTAGCTATGAGAGAATTATCCAGAACCAGAAAGAACTTTGAGAGCAGCAGAATTATTTTTTTCTCAAGGCTTCAGATCTACTAAGGCCTAATTCACACAACTCAATGGAAGAGCTGAACTTCAGTTGTTACCACCTGCTTCTAATTTCTCTTTTTTTCCCAGCTCCCCTTCACATGAAAGCTTATTTTTCTTTCTTAGACTGAATGCTTTTTCCTACTTATGTTTTCCCTCTCCTTCCTGATCTCATGACTGCCTGCTTTTATCTTCAGTGTAGTCAATTCCAAGTCTAAACCTAAGACTTTGTCTAAACCTAAGACTTTGTCTAAACCTAAGACTTTGTCTAAAATGTATTTTTTTTAAATTGAAAGAAACAAACCTGCCTGCTTTTTTCGCTTCTCCCTGCTTCCAATACCTTCTCGATTCTCAATGCTGCCTAATTCCTTATTCTTCTTTTCTAAGCCTAATCTCTACTTTTATATCCTGCAAAACTTGTTTGCTTTGTCATGTATACCTTTATTCCATACTATCTTTCTTTTCCTATATTTATTTTCATGCACTGTCTTCAGAGACCAAATTTGTTTTCAATTGCAAAGATTTAAGGATTTCCTCCCCCCAAAATAATATTTTCATTCCTCAGCTTTACTGTGAAGCAAAATATGTTTGGTTTTTTGAAATTAGCAAAGATCATCCTGCCTTCTTCATGGTGAATACCAACTTGAATCATACAATCTTCTCTCTCTTGAGTGCTAAATTCCTCAAGCATATTTAGAACTTGCATCTTTAGTTTTGCCACAGATGTTACATCACCCTGTTTTCCAGTTTCCTACTTGATGTGAAATCTCTTGCATATTGTACACTTGTAATTTTAATCTACTGCAATATGACTTGAAACATTTCTCCTTGATGATTTTTACATCTGCTCACTGCAGTACAACCTGTATCTCTGCAAGGGACAGAAATCATCATTTCATATATTTTCTGCATGGAGTAGAAACTATAACCATGTGTAAGTTGCATTGTTGGTATAAGGAGGCAGTTTTAGCAAAACTGATGGTTTTTCCATTGCTATGTTGCCCACCGAAGCTCAAACATTGTCTGGCAACTATCCTCAAGGGCAATTGTCTGGCCAACTTAGCAGCGGGCCCCCTGCCATCCTAACAGATGGGCACCAAGTGTAAGTAGCCATAAGACCATATAAGTGCATTTAGTGTGAAACTTGGGGCATAATTCCCAGCCTTGATCACCATATGGCTTTTCCATACTGAGTTTGTGATAAATGGGATGCTCAGTGCTAACTTAACTTTGAACATGAACAGCATTAGGGAAAATAATAAGTAGAATAGCTCCCACTATGTGATAATCAGGGGGTAAGTTTGGAATCAGCAGAAACAGTAGAAGAGGAGGATTATTATACATCAACATCCTCCCCACACTTTTATTTTTGTTGATGCATTAAGCTTTCCATGACTCAACTTCTGAAAAACAATGAAATAGGCTCCTTCACTCCCTCCAGACACCTTTACAGGGAAAGAGGATGCAAAATTATGACAACATATGCCTTCAAGAAAAAGACTTTGAATTGATTCACAGTCTCATAAATGAACTGAACCTACGTTTCACAGTAATTTCAATATTGAATTCTGCAGAACTGTTTTAACAGAGAGGCTCAGGATTTCATAGAATTCTTTACCATAGATATTTCAATGCTTTTATTCTACATTCTTAGTGGATATGGAAAGCATTTCACCTCCCTTCAACACACATTGCTTCACACACATCTGATCTAGTGGTCAAGGGAAAAGGGAAGCCAATAGAACCTATGTTTGTGACCACCATCTTTTTTCTAAGCAATTCCTAGTAGTGCATGCCTCAGTACCTGTGGATTTTAGTTATTGCAGCAAACTGCATTGGTGTTTGCTAACAGAAGGGATTTAAAACAAACAGTAAGTACTGAAATAGGGAATTAGTTCCAAGAATGGGAATCTTAAAAATTCATACATTGGTTTTGATTATTTTTAGATGGCACTTCTGGGTTGTAGTTATTGTCAACAAAAGATTCTGCTTGTGACCTTTGAAGAGTGAAAAGAATCTAATTTTATCAAGCCTTGAGAAAAATATGAGAACTCTGAAGAAGCATTCATCTAGATTTAAGATTTCAAGTGGTAAGAAATCACATGAAAAAGAATTTAACTGGTTTCATTCTTTCGTTTTCTATCATACTTTAGAGGGGAGATCATGGTTGATTTATACTACTCTAAAATGATGCTAGCAAAAGGAAAGGAAAAGTTCTACCTCTCCCATCTCCAGTTACATATTTCTACCGGAAAGGGCAGTGTTGCCCTTCAATGATGCAGGACTAGAGTAGTTTGATTTATTTACAGAACCACTGTCTTAGATAAAAAAGAGGAAGGTTTAATCCAGTATAGACTAATACAGATTTCACTGGAAACAGTTACAACTGTGCAGCTGAAAGTCCAACAAAAATATATCTCTGTACTTTCAGCTCCTAAATCTGAGAGAGGAACACCTTTCATGAAATACTCATTTGAATTTGCGTGCTTTCCAACCGCATTCAAATAATCAACTCTGCTGGCATGAACACTCACAGAAAGCAAATGCCAAAGGTGCTTATGTGAGCTTTTCTGGAAACACAATTTAAGGTGGGCCCTTAGAGTTTCAGTTGAAACATTTATTTAATTAGGAAGAGAGATAACTGACAGGCAGTATTTAATCAGAATCCTGAAGTAAGCATACTAGAGAATCAAACACGGTCATGCCTTTAGTTGGCACATACGACCCCTTCCTGAATAAACTTCCTACTTACCTGAAAAGAGTTAAATTAGTACCTCTTTATGTATTCATTACTTAGGCCACCAATAGCTTGTCTCATATACAGTTAGATATGATTAGAGCCTGTTACACTAATTTCCTCTTAAGAAGATTGGATCTTTTAATTTTCTTTTTAACATATAAAGTCTGAAGCTGAATTAGGTTATGTTTCAAAAATCAGGGAGTTAACTGGACAACACTATATTTTTGCAGACCTATGCATTTACAGAAGGCTTCAGTTTATCCATTACTTGAACAGGTAAGTGATGCAAACCAAACAAACCAATAGACCATGTCCTAGTCAGCATCAGAGTATAATTAAGAATGAAAAATCCACTTGGAAATACAGAATCTACCACAGGTATTGGGAGATTGAATTCACAACAGAGAGAATGGCTTTGTTCTTCAATTGCAGCTCTGTTAAAAAATGAGTCTAAAAGTTGCACAGCTTCCTGTTTATTATCTCTCAGAAACTTCCAGGTCCGATTCACTCAATTTATCTGAAAAGTATTTTTCTCAGTTGTCAGCCCTGTGAGACTGACCTTAACTACGAGTCAAAGCACGGGCTCCTTCTGGTGATTGCAACTATGAACTCACCTCCGAAAATCACAGCTGAAATTGCCATTACTCCCCTTTCATGATACGATTTACTCCATAACCTGTCCATTGTGAAGTCTTAAATATGCCAAATTCAGGATTTGCATAAAGAACAAAAGAAAAAAGGACTTGAGTAAGAAGAAATTAGACTTGGATGAAGTCAAAATGAACAGCAAATGTGCTCTAACAGGCATTTATCATTCTATAAAAGCAGAAGTACTCTACTTTTGACAAAACTGAAGTTCTAAAAGTTATATCTTTAGGTTACAAACAGAGAGAGACATCTTTACAACAAAACTAATGTGTAGAACTCACTGCCTATGAGTGATTAGACAAACCAAGTTTCATTTGTTGAATGGCTCAGATATTTGCATTCAAAAGTATTATAAACTTTTATATATTATTCATTATAATGTTTCAGAAAAGGCTTATTCTGCTTGTGTTTGCTGATGCGGTTCTGATCCTTGTCAGCCAAAACAGAAATGTGTTGTAATTTAAGCTTTGGACTGCTGGGATCCACTCAACGGCCCAGATAACACTGCTTGGCAGTCACAGTTGCACTGAGGGGCTCCCGAGTGCTCCCTGACACCTTTGGGATCTGGGATCAGTGGGACCTGCGGGGGCTGCACTTGCCTGGCTGATGGTGGTGCTGGGCCAGGGGCTCCCTCCCTCTGCTGCCCCATCCCCAGGGCACCCTGACAGCCACAGTGCTGTAGGTTGCTGCTGAGTCCTCCCAGGTGCTCTGATATGAAACACAGGTCAATCCTCATCAGCCTTTGCCAGCCCGAAACTTGTTCAAAATGGAAGAATAGGGCTGGGTTCTGGTTCTGTTTGTTTGTTTTACAGTATTCATCCTAGGTCACGGGTTTATGGAGACTACTGAATAACCTGCTGTCCATAGTCATTTATAATAGCAATTAAAATTTCTAAAGCCCTTTTGAAAAAGTAATTAAAAAAAATCCTTATTGTCTATCTTGTAATAAGATGGCAATATTTTAAAATGTGATGAAATTTTTCTCTAATAAGTCTTGCTCTAAATTGTTAAAGACACAGAATTCAAAAATTAATGCAATAGAAAAAAACATTTTAAGGAAATTATTTCTATTTCAAGTCTTCTTCCCAAAATATTTTATTTTCTAAGATATCAATAATTTGTTCAAAATCACAAACTGGACAGTGTACTGCCCCTTTCAGATTCCACTTTCATAATCCACAGAATCTTTGTGTTTAATCTTTTGTTAGAAGACCCTTAAGTTCTTTGATGCATGCACATTATTTTCTAGTGATTGCCACCACATGAAAAGGGTGTTAATCCTCTGCTAATTAACAACTTGTTGAGGTCAGTGGGGGTTAGAACTTTACATTTTTGGATTTGGTGAATTTTTCATTCACTGGAATTTCTTGTTCTCATCTGTTCAGGTATTCTGTAATTTTTTTCCTCAGTATATTTTATTTCATGTCTGTAATAGCATCCCCTTGCCATCTTAGCCTAGTAAGAACATGCTAAGAGCTTCTTGTATGACGTGAGATTCAGTCTGCACGTGTTTTTCTACTCTACAACTACTTTGACTAAAAAGACTGTTGCTTTATGCAGTTTAGGTGGTTTCTCTATACAGGAGATGGAATTTCCATTGCTTTTGATAGTCATACTACATGTTTATAAAAATAATACAATATTTCTAAAAGATTGTTAAAATATTATGAAAGGTATAAAAACCAATTCCTATTAATGGAAAGAAAATGAAAATGGTCTTGCTGATGTTATTTATTCAGTAAGTATTTATATTTATATATATATGTATTTATTTATTTATTACCGTATTAATCTGATAAGTAGTTTAATTAACTCCAGACAATTTTAACTTCTTTCACTATTACTGTCACTGAGCACAAGAGTTTGCATAGTCAAAATTCTATTATTAAGATTTCAAAAACAGTTTTGTTGTTTTTTCAGCTGATATCAAGACTTAAAAAATGGTAGCTTGCTTTAGGGAAATGCTATAAGCAAAAAATGTTCTTATCTAAGCAACATTAACATGCACCTTATTTTTTCATTGCATGTCTATGAATTGTGCTTTTTAAATAAATACCACATAATAACTCCTCAGAGTCCTGAAATGTAACTATGCTGCCCTATCTGTGTACGTTCTTAAAAAGGCTCTGCAACTCAAAGAAAAGTAGATAGCAAGATAGTAGATGTTTTGTTTTGCATTTAGTTACCACTAACTGGAAAAGGTGCAAGAGAAAAGGCATCATAGAAACAGTTTAATAAAACTTGGTGAGGTTGGCAGAAACTGTGAAGAAAAAAATGGAAAGGGCACCAAAACAGTCCATATCCACACAGTAATTAAGAAACAGGTCTAGCCTTAGTAATCTTGCCAGTGAATTCCACAATTTTATGATACACTGTATGAAAAAGCATTTCCTTTCATAGTAAACAAATCTACTTCTTCTATCTATTTCTAATCTCTCCAGATCAAGCTGAATCATCCCTTGTGAGAGAGGCAGGGAGCACAGGCATTCCAAATGTCTTCTCTACAACCTTCACTACCTTGCAACTGTTTTTCCTCATGGCTCATTTTAATTCTCTTTCTTGAGCAATCTATCATAATCTTTGCAGTCTCCTTCACCTCCCCAAAAATACCTGCATTTACTTGACAGTTTTCATCACTATCTGAACAACCGATATTTCTAAAATACCCTAAAAAGGATGAGGAAATTCTCTTTGGAAATACTGTTTCTTAGTCTATCTTAAAATTAAAACAAAATGCTTGGAAAGAAAAGGAAAACCACCATCACCGCAGTATAATTTTAATTACAATTTCTTCAAAAATTCTTTAAAAAGACACAAAACCATCTAAACTGAAGTGCAGACTTAGCCACACGCCTGTGTAGACACTGTGACTGATTACATGCTATGTAAACAGTATTTCACAGACAGTACTGTAGAGATAGATGATAGACCATTAGGACAGTTTACAAAGGGAAGGGAGCGATCTTACCCTTTTAAATCTTGATTAAGGAAAAAAAAGATGATTGTATATGTTGTTGCTCGGTTTAAAATGATTTTGTTATCTGAAGCTCAGTAAAATCTCAGCACAACAGGGGTGATTCATGATGCAGGATGTGGCTATTTTTTTGGTGACAAACGAAATACCTCCAGGGTGCTGAAGTTCTGTGGCTCTTACTCAGCCATTGGAAGGATGGGAGGATGGGGGTTTCCCTGAGGTACCCTCACTGAGTGCATACCTTTGGCTCCTAACGAGGCACCGATTAGCTCCATAATTATTTTTGAATAGTTTTGACTGTTGAGATGAGGCAACTTTCAAGATTTCATTTATGCACATATCTGTTAAAGTGAAAATAGCTGAAGAAAGAACACTTGTCTTTCTTTTCATTAGTCTCTTTCCGAAACTCTACTAAGTAGTTTTCCCTTTTTATTAAATTATTAAGACCACTTTTAATTCGTTCTGCTATTAATTTGTAGTAATAGATTTTCATGCAGATAAGCCAGTAATTCACTTGAAAGTCCATTCTCTCCTTAACACAGGAGCCAAGTTAGGAATGTGAGTGTAAATATTGGTATTAAAACAGTGCTATAGTTTCAGCATTTGAAGCAGTTTCATTACTTGAGGAATTGAAGTATCTAGATAAAGTTAAATTAGGTCACAAAAATATATATTTTTTTTTTAAAAAAAGATGACCTAAATGGTGAATTGTGACAGCAGCCAAGTAAATAACTTAACAAGAAAAAGCTTTGCAGAATATTGATTTAATGCATCACTTAAGCAACAGAATATCTCAAACCCACATTATCCATGCTCTATTTCCCTGTACCTTGGACAGTTTATCTATTCACCTCTCTCAAAGGAACAAGCACATATTTCTACATGGATTGTTTGTCTATGATGTACAGTTTTTAACACTATGATAAAATTAATCTTTAGTATAATTCTATTTTTGTGAAAGATACTAGTTTATAGAAGTTTTGGCATTCTGGAATTAAAAAGTTACAGAAATTTAACGAAGATACATCAATTATCATCTTTACCCTGTGAAAATACATCATTTCAAATTAAGGATTTTCACTCTTTTAAAAGACCCTAGACTGTGTTTCAACTTAATTGCACAGAGTTTGTAAAAGAGCATTAAAAAAATGTCAAAAATCTGATATAAAATTACAATGATTTTAAATTATGTTTTGAAATGCTACATTCAGGACAAACACTATAAGGATAGTGCTGTATCTCAGAAGGAGGGACAAAAAGCTGGAAAAAATACTGGGTTTCTTTTTTTTTTCTTTTTTAAAGAAATGAATGAAAAAAATATAATTTTTTATAACAGACTGTTTCGCTACCCAAAGCAAAATCTGGTGTCGCAAAGATTATTTAAGCCAAAACTCAGACTCTATCAGTGTAACACCATTTAATATGCATGAATGACAGCTTGATGGCTAGAGAGGCATCTGATATGAATTCTCTGATTTCCTCTCTGTGGCTGCAGAGCTGGAGCTGCTGCTGCTCCCTGGCTCCATGTCACCCAGCTGCCGCGGCAGGTTCTGCACGTAGACAGGACTGCTCTGCAGCACATGCTGACAGAGTTCTACCAAGGTTCTACAACAACTATGGATATTATGCAGGAGGCCCTTCCCTACATGCCTGT